TAAATCCATATTTTCCAGAAAAATAAATATATCAAGGTGTACCAAAAATAAAAATATTAAAAATACATGTGACTTGATAAATAAAACTTAATTTAAAACAATATACGGTTTTGCCACTCTACAGAGTGTCTTAAACTTATGGTAAAAAACATATTTTTGTTTAAACCTGTATATTATAAACGTAGGTGTATTTTTTAGTAATTTTAGAAATCAAATAAAAAGTTTCTTCATAAATTTTAAAATCTAAATTAATTAATAACATCCAAAACCTAATTAAAATCTTCCAATACATTGGCAAAGGCAACGATATAAAACATACGTAAAGGATCTATTAAATAATAATCGAGCCATTTGTAGCCCGCAGATAGGAAATACTTAGGGAATGATTAATGCCCCGAGGAGCGAACATCCTAATCTACCCCATAAAGATAACAATGCAGCATGTGAATTATCGCTAGGGGTAGTGTGCATTATTTCTCCATAACCAGGGGCGTAGCGAGGGAAAGGTGCAGGGGGTGTAACACCCCCCACTTTTCCGGAGTCGCCCTTTTTTCGAGGTTCCATAAAATTACAATTCCATTATTTAGTTAAATACATATTCAAGAAAATGCAAATATTGACTTAAAAATGCCTAAAAGGTTTAATATGTTTTTAATTAAATTTAAATGTGTTATAATTAATCAAGCAAAAATAATTTTCATAAAATTTAACTTTATATTCAAGCAAACTTCGATGCAAAAGTTTAAATTTAGTTTGCAGCTAGCTTGTCGTATAAATTTATTAAAACTGAAAATGCCAGGCACACTTTTTTCTTCAATTTCATTTTATTTTATTTTGTTGAAGAAACTTGTCGGTAAAATGTAATTTAATGATTTTAATGTTAAGGTGATATGGATAAAATTTAATTTAATTTAATTTAATGTTAAGTTTGTAAAATATTAATATTGTTTGCGATTATAAAGTTATGTCATTAAAAACTTACTTTTTAACACAACATGTTTAATATTAGCAGCTCTATTAAAAAGAATTACCTAGTAAAAATTATAAGGCATATTTGACTAATTGTCATAGCAAAAAAGGAGTAACTAATAATTAGTTAAATGAGTAGATTTAAATTTTATAGTATATTATGTATCTAGTTTGATAAACGCCATTTTATACACGAATTTAATTTAGGCACGAGCGAGCTTGCTAAATTAATAAGTGTATAGAAAAGTTTATAAACGAGGTGCATACTTTTTCTTCGACAAATACTTATTATTATCTTAAAATGATTTAAATCAAAAATTTGTATACACCGCCATCTATGAAACAATAGGGGAATCTATGTGTCACCGTCAAATGTCACATTTTTACATTTTATAAGCACAGATTATAAAGGTCATAAATCGAAATGTATTTCTTGAAAATTAACAGTTTTTCACAGTGAAAGTAAAGAAAATGTTTTATGAGGACTTTACAGTGGAGTCCGTGCCCGAATTTAAGTTATAGTTTACTGCCGGCGAAATTAAAAGGTCAGTTCAATGTTCATATAAACTTTTAAAATATTGGCGTTGAGAAACTATTTAATACTTTTGTATTTTTGTATTGAGATAATAAAATAATTTTCACATTTAGTATTAATATTAGTCTATCAATATTGCTTATAATATTTTAAAGTTAAATATGATTTTTGTGTTGCTGTTTTGAGCTAACAATAATTTGTTGTTGGCCGCAAGAATTAAAAACGATTTAAGAAATTATATTATAGTTACTTTTTACTCTTAGAAACTTAAATTAGTCAAACAATTAGTAAAAAATAACTTTTTAAAAGTGAAAACGACTATTTTATTAGTAAACAATGCTGGTACTAATATAAATAGTAGAATTTTTATTATTTTATTTTAAGAAAGTAGGTATACTAAAGTTCATTTTTTTGATCTGGACTGCGGCAACGTTGCAAATTTGGGGTTTTGGTTGGTACATACAGTTGACAAGTTGGTCGCATTGATTAAAACAAACTAAGCTAGTTATAAATCTAATTGTGGTTATGTATAAATTATTGTAGGTTACATTGTGCAGTTGTCAAGTTGAGTTTTCGAAATTCGTAGTTAAAAATGCAATTAATTTGGCTTTGGTGGTGCTTGGATGAGTAAAATCATATAAAAAAAAGTAGTTAAATATAGGTTGCTCTACGGCCCAGAAGAGAAAGTATTCCTAGCGAATAATAATCTTCGCTTTGAAAAGAATTTATATAAATGAAATTAAAATTTTTTGTGAACGTAAATGTTGTCCAATGGTGAATACTGTAAAAATAATGTGTGATGTAATATAAATATTATAATATTATAAATATTGGTTTTATAAATTTATAAAACCAAATTCGTTACCTTTTTACTCCAAAAATGTCCATAAGGAGATGTACTTTTTCTTCCATTGTGGCATTTGGCATAATTTCATCAAAATGAAGTTTTGCCTTCAAAAGGGCTTTTACATTCGAATTCGTTGCTATTATTTTTGGCATAATTATCTTTTTATTTATAATTGACAAGTAAATTATCAATAATAAATATTATTGTCAATTTGACAGTTTTAAAGTATTTAATAAAATTCTTTAGCAGAAGTAACATTTTTAAATACTAAAAATACTAAGTCAAACTGGCATAAGCCACCAACCTAACAAAAAAACACGAGTCCAGATAAAAAAAAATGAACTGTACATACAAGCACCTGAAATGTTGGGAGAAAATTTAACTTATTTTTATCAACATTTGTGGTGCACCCTGTTTCCTTTTTAAAATATGTACTTACAGAATTTAGAAGCTTAGTATACCATATACTAATAAGTTTCGGGAGACTTACCTAAAAAAAAGAAAAAATTATTAATTTAAGTATTTAATATTTAACGATTGGCGCATACCAGAAATATTCATTTGATTTTTTGTCACTTAAGCCAATTAATCGCGTAATTCATCATACGCCTGTCAGTTTAAATTTTTTAATCGACCAAATATTTTTTAATTGGCATAACGGACATTCTCTACGCTTCCTCTAACTATGTACATATTTTATTTATTAAAGAATTTTAATAAAAAGTGTCTCACATGATTTATTTAATTTTTTATTTTGTGGGGTGTTCTGTTTTTTGCGTATTTAACGATGAACCCTTTTAACGATTAAAGTGGATGGAGAGGTTATGTTATATTTTTTAATGATAAAGGATAAAAAAGTATAATTTAATACGAAATTTATTTTTATTTCCACTCACAATATTGCCTGTTTTTTCAATTTCAATATAACATAAATAAAGGTATTTCAACGAAACCTTACCCCACCTTGATAAAAAATCAGATGTGTTATTAAAAACAATAACAACGATATCTGAAGCCAAATAGTTTAATTTCGACGTAATTTATAACCTTAAAATATACGTACATTGTGATGCTAAGAAGCAAACATTAAGAATAAACACTGAAGAGTTTCAATACTCGATAAAATGTTCAAATGTCGCACCCGTTACATTTTGTGAAAATTTTAGAAAATAAAGAAGGTATGCAGTTTTTGTGCATTTAAAATAGGTGCTTGTTTAAGGTTACTATTCAACTTTTACACAAAAAATTATTACTATATGCTTTCATCCAAAATTTTACAGTATCAACTTTAGAAGCCAACTTGGTCGCCTTTGCCGATATTCTAAGGTCCCGTTACGCTTTCATGACGTTATAAAAGGTTTTCTATAAGTTTTTATTGACATTTAGTTTGAGTTAAATACCTAATTTTTCATACTCTTTTTTAATAATAACGTATCTTGATATATTTGAACAAACACTTTATTATCAAGAAAAAACGCATTTTTAGTGTCGCACCCGTTACAATGGACATACCCATAAGTTATGGTTGAGGTGGTTATGTTACATAACCCCCTCATCAACTTGCTTTAGTTATTTTTATTACCACATTCATTAATTTCTATAAAAAATAATATCTTTACTTTAATTTATTCTATCTACTCCTACATTGACAAGCTGTGACTTTATAGCGTTTTAGTCATGGGCTGAAATTATCTTTCTAATAAATTACGAAAAAGTGAGGTTAAATTCATCAAATGTCAAATATTTATGAATTAAAATTGGCTTTAAATTCTTATTTCTGTTCGTCTTAGACAAAGTATAGTATGCAACTCGTTTTATAAACCTCTCTAGATACTCATTTTTAAAAACTCGTATCTAAAATGGCGTTTATAAAACATGATACATAATATACTATTTACTACTCCCACCTTTAAAACGCCCATTATCGTACATGTTTCAATGACACTAAGTGACCTTTTAAAATACACTTTATGGCCTTTTAGTCACTGGCTGAGTTAGCAACAGGTTTTTAGTCACGGGATGAGTTGGTTACTCTATTGTTTTATAAATGTCGCTCTTTACAAATATTTAATATAAATCATTTCTAGATAATTATCTCTCTAAAAATGAATTAGTCAAAAATGACCAATTTAATAGTTATTAGTGGCTGAATTTTAACTTGTACCATGGTTAACCATGGGATACCATGGTATCCCAAAATTTAACATCCAATTCTTATGTAAAATTGTCCCCTAAATCCGAAAATAATGAAAGTGGAGCAGTTTTTGAGGTATAGTCAATTCCATATTAAATGGAAAATTTACTATATCTCAAAAACTGTTCTACTTTTTTATTTTTTGACGACATTTTCGGGTTCAGGGGACAATTTTACATAAGAATTGGCTGTTAAATTTTGGGATACCATGGTTAACCATGGTACAAGTGAAAAAACAGCCACTAATAACTATTAAATTAGTAATTTTTGACTAATTCATTTTAATAGAGATAAGTATTTGTCGTAGAAAAAGTATAGTATGCAACTCGTTTATAAATGGCGTTTATCAAACTTGATACATAATATACCAGTATTAGTAAATACTAATATTGTAACCTATTACAACATAATTTTATTGAAACCACTATAACCCCAAATAGAAGAAATTTGGCAACATGGCTACATCAAGTGAATTTTCAGCCGAGTTATTAAAATTAAAAAAAGATCAATTAGTGGAAATAATACTAAACAAATGCATTCCCAGTGCCATCAGTGTGAGTGAGGAATTACGTCGATATGTAGAAACCAACGAAAACGGTGAAATTAGCAAGTCGGTTAAAGTTAACCTCGAAAATAACATACCGTTCATCAAGCTAGAAAATGAATTAAAAACAACAAAAATTGAACTAGAGTGTTTCAAAACCATCATTTCAACATTAAAAACCACAGTGAGTGACAAGGAATTGATAATAAATTTATTACAAAATAATAAACAAACAAATCCAGTTCGAACGGATTTCAGCGTTGCCGATGCAGTCACAAAGTTTCCAAACCAGGGAAACCAGCAAACTGATACAAATCAAACATACAGCAGCGTTGCTAATGCATCTAAAATAGATTCAAATCAGAGAAAACAAAACCAGATAACAAATTCTAGTGGAAATCAAGAAAAACCACAAGAAACAATAAATAATAATAAAAAGAAAGTTGTAGGATCCAACGAGGATAAAAAGGTCTTTAAAAGTGCCCCTAGGAAAGCTTTTATACATTTGGGGCGTGTAGACCTTAATACTACCTCAGATGATATAAAAAATCATGTAGTCTCCACGTTTAAGACAAATGACTTTAAAATTGAACCTTGTCCAGTAAGAGAAGGAGCTAAAAGTATTTCCTTTAAGATTGAGACAGACAGCTCAATTGTAAAGGAACTATACTTAAGCGAAAATTGGCCCAAAGGCGTCCTAATTAATAAATACCGATTTTTTCGTAACCAAACAGAAGCAGCAGCAGAATTTAAATAATGGTATAAATAAAATAAACAAACACAAAAAGGTTATAAAAAACAATTCTTCGAAACTAATAATTCCAAATAAAAACAAAGGTATTAACATTATTAATCTAAATGTACAGTGTTTATTAAGTAAGCTGGATGCATTTAGAAAACAAATTGCGGCTGTAGAAGCTGATATAGTAGCAATAACTGAACATTGGTTACAAAAATCTAACCTGGAAACATTAAAAATACCAAATTATGAAATAGGTACTTACTTTATTAGAGAAAACTATCGCCACGGTGGTGTTTTAATATTGATTAAACCACAAATCAAATACTCAGTAATAAATTTACAACACCTCTCTGAAGAGTTGCATATAGAACTTGCCGCTATACACTGTACCCAAATAAATGCAATATTTATAAGTGTTTATCGATCTCCATTGGGAGATTATAATGTATTTTTAGAAAACATCGAGTATTCTTTAAATTTTATTTCTGAAAAGTTTCCAAAAGCTCGCCTGTTTGTTTTAGGTGATTATAACACAAATTTTATGACAGAATCTACCAATAAAACAAAATTACTGGAGGTCATGGCACTTTTTAACATGCATCCACTTTTCCAAGAACCATCTAGAATAACACATGCATCTTCAACATGTATTGACAATGTTTTCTCAAATGTTGATGTACTAGACATGAAAACAGTAAATCTCCATCTCTCTGATCACATGGCACAACAATTTAAACTAGACGTAGAACAAAACACACTAGAAAAAACCTTTACTAGAAATACAAATGAATTTTCCATTTGCCTCCTAAAATCCATGCTTCAGGATGAAAATTGGGAAAATCTTCAAAACTATAATGCTGCAGAGTCCTTTTCTATATTTCTCAACAGATTTTTAACAATATTTAACCATGCATGTCCTAAAAGAAAAAAGAAAATTATAAACATTGAAAAGAGTTACACTGAAAGAAATATATGTTTGTTTTAGCAATGTATGTGGTTCATATATGGACTACCACATACATTGCTAAAACAAACATATATTATATTTAGTTTTAACATAATATGTTAAAACTAAATATAAAAATGGTTAAGGTAAATATATTTTATGTTTGTTTTAGCAATGTATGTGGTAGTCCATATATGAACCACATACATTGCTAAAACAAACATATATTTCTTTCAGTGTATAATTTAAATAATAACCTAAATAAAAGGAAAAACATACTAGATTCATTAGCAGTCATAGCATCAGTAACAAAAAATCCACTTCATTATCAAGCTTACAGCTCTTATAAAAAAGATTTCTACAAAGAGGTTCAAAATTTCCAGAAATCCCAATATGAAACATATATAGTAAACTCAAACAACCTTCAAAAATCCGTGTGGAAAATTATAAACAAAGAAACTGGAAAAGAACAAAAAAGACAAGTGAAAAGTATCTTAACACCAGATGATCTTGGAAAATATTACAAAAACGTACCTGAAACCATTGTAAACCAAATAGATAGGAATGACCAAAACAACTTTAGAGAGCTGCTATTTAAACTAAATATAAATAACAAAAAATCCTGCTACTTTTATGAAACAACCGTTGATGAGATAATAAAAATAATAAAAATCCTTAAATGCAAAGAAACAGCTGATGTATTTGAAATCTCAACCAAAATAATAAAAAAAGTTGCAGAGGAAATAGCCATTCCAATATGCATTATACTAAATAAATGTATTCACGAGGGACACTTTCCAGAACCACTAAAAAAAGCAAGAATAATTCCTATACCAAAAAACCAAACATTGACGAAGCAAGTAATTACAGGTCTATTGCCATACTACCAGCTTTTTCAAAAATTTGGGAATATGCAATAAAAACAAGAATTTTGGGTTTTATAGAAAATAATAATATGATGAGTAAAGATCAACACGGGTTTAGATCCGGCCATTCCACTACCACCGCAATTGCTGCTTTACTTAAAAGCATTTCTGAAACATTAGATGAAAAAAATTATACATGTCTTACCTGCTGCGACCTGTCCAAGGCGTTTGATACTATTAGCCACAATATCTTACTAGAAAAGATCCACTACTATGGAATAAGAGGAATACCCCATAATATGATGCAATCATATCTATCAAACAGGACACAAGTAATTGACTGGAATGGCAGACAATCCCAGGAGTTTGATGTAAATCATGGCGTTCCTCAAGGCTCCATATTGGGGCCTTTACTCTTCCTACTATACATTAATGATCTACCTACCAATATTCCAAATGCAAAAACATACCTGTATGCAGACGATACATCTTTTTTGGTAACTGGACCATCACTGGAAAATATTATGAGGAAAAAACTGGATGCACTTCAAGCCATCAAAAAATGGACGGATTCAAATATGCTGTCCCTTAATGAAGGAAAAACACAAGAAATATGTTTTAATGAAAGAAGAGATTCCCAAATAAATTTTCTAGGAATCCAGTTGGACCCCAGGCTGAACTGGTCGGGTCATATTCAAACTCTATGTAAAAGGCTTCCAAGTAAAATATTCTGTATAAAAAGATTAATTAAGATTAGTACCTACCAAGCAACTCGTACTTATTACTTTTCCAAAATAAATTCCATTCTTCAATATGGTATCCTGTTTTGGGGAAATGCTGTTGATGGAAATAGACTTTTTATTCTTCAGAAGCGAGCTGTAAGGGCCATTGCAGAAGTCCCGGATAGAGAGAGTTGTAGACTTTTATTTAAACAACACAGAATATATACAATAACAAACTTGTACATACTTACACTAGTCAAATATGTGCACTCAAACAAGGAGCTCTTTACTCCAAATAATGTGTCCCATGAGCATAACACAAGAGGACAACATAATCTACAAATTCCATATCACCGCATCAGGGCTTCCCAAAGAGTAAACTATTGGGGCTCCAAAGTCTACAATAAACTACCACAAGAGTTTAAATCTCTGTCTGTGTACAGTTTTGACCGTGCCGTTAAACTCTTTTTTATTCAAAATATATTTTACAGTCTTGATGAATATTTCTGTTTTTAAATATGCTTGTCTGCGCTATAAACGTGTACTTTGTACCTATATTTTAATTATTCTCATTGTTTTTATTTGTATATACTTATTTATTACTTATTTAATTGTGTTTATGCTATACTTTAATATTTACTTTATATTTTTACCTACCTACCTACTGACTTTTCATGTAATTTTAATTGCAGTGAATAAACATTTATTATTATTATTATTATTAATACCTAGCTGTACACAATCGATTGTCTTACAACCGGAGAATCTGGTAATAATCTAGCCATTTTAATGCCGACATTATCAAAATATATTTCCCATTCGGAAATGCTCCTGGCCGCATTGTTGCCAGATAACATCCAAGCAACTTATACAGCTAACTAACTATAATAAATAAGGGGTAAGTTATACGTAATACTGTTTGGTTAAGGGACAATTAGGGTAAAATATGTTTAGGTGTATAATTACGAGTAAAAGTGAAGTAAAAGCAAAACAAATTTGTGTTAGTGAGGTATAAAAAGAATGAAAAAATCGCGAAGCGTCGGTTTTAATATTAAAATATAATGGCACACCAAACCACGTGGTTTGTTCTTCAAAGTTATATTATAATATTTGATTACATAAACAATTGAAATGAAACAAATGCTACAAAAATGTATTCAAAAGTATGAAAAAGTGTATGATCTTCATGAAAAATATTTTATCCGATATCGGCAGTAAAGTAGTCAACAATCGGCAGTAAAGTAGAACTTTATTGCCGATTTAATACAAGTATTATATGCAACCCATTATACATTTTAAGATGTGTCTACTGCTACTCATCAGCAACTAAATCGCGGAGGTCGATTGGACCTATTCATGAAATGTTGTTTAATAAAAATAATAAGTTATTTTATATATGGTAATATATACATAGTAAAAAAAAACAACTCTAAGCAACACTAATTAGAGTTCACACAGGTCCAACTATAGTTTGGACCTGTGTGTTGTTTTATAACACTACAATTAGAGTTAATTTGTAGTGTAATTTTCCCCAAGTAAGAAAGTATGATTTAACACTATAACACTAAGGATAAATTAATTTTATTGTATTAAAAAGTGTTAATTTACCTAAAATCGTGTACTTCTACACTTCCTTGGTAAAATCCCACTTTTTTTAAGTGTAAATTAACACTACTTTGGAAAGGTTATAATTTTAGAAAAGTACTTTTATTCTTTTAGTTCAAACTTCTAGTGTAAATTAACACTATTATTTGAGTAAAACCTATTGGTGGTAGTGAATAAAACGAAAAGGTAAATAAATAAAAACATTTATTTGGAACAAAAATCTATGACAAAATTGTCATTTAAACAAATAAATATCAATATAAATATCAATAGATTTAGAAGCGATAACTTTTGTTGTTAATTTAAAAACAGTAAACGATTATAATTCAGGAATACGGATTACAAGATCCCATTGGTTTAATGGCTCACCCATTCATGATATGCTAGCGTTTTTTCTGTGAAATAATTATTAATTAGATTAAAGAATCGCCGCGGCGGGCAAATATATCATAACCGTCGCAACAAACAGTATACGTAGACACTTCCTACATTCAAATGACATTAATTTGATCATCAATATTAATTATTAGTATTATTAAATGTGATTTCGGATAAAATTTAATATGCACCTGGGCATTAAAGTCATTTTTTATCACTCACGTGGTTATTTGCCTCGGCTTTCGCCTCTGCAAATAATTTCCACATTCGTGATAAAAAATACGACTTTACTGCCTTGATACATAAATAACTATTTTTAAAACAATAATTATCGTACATATAAACAACCCCCATGTAATTGCATTTTTGATAAGTTTTGTGGTTATTCCAATGCTATTTAGCGAGCTAGTGCAAGTAACCAAAATGTATGTCGTATGAAAAAGCCAAAGGCCTTCGCTATCGATATAATTTTTCATTCGGGCGAAAATTACGCGTCAC